CGGTTCTCGGGGGCGCCGTACCATACGGCGTCGGCGTCAACGGCTTGCTTGTCGTCGCCGGTCTCGGGGCGTCGGTGTTAGGCGTCGCCGTGCCGTACGGACCCGTCGTCGATGGTTTAGGCGCAGCAGTCGTCGCTTTGGGGGCGTCGGAGCTTGGTACGGGTGTTCCGTACGACTGGGGGGCAGTCGTTGTCGCATAAGGCGACGATGTGGAAGCTTTCGGCGCCAACGTAGCGTAGGATGACTGCGTTGGTGGCGGCGTCACTACCGTGGACTCGTCGAGGTGCGTGAGATGGGCCTTCGCAGCAGAACACCAGTCGAACGAATGATCTTTGGGCAAACTCATCGAGCACTTGATGTTTGACGTGTACGTCGGCGGTTGTCGCTTGAGCTGGATGCAGGCGTCGGGCGTCGTCGTCGGCAAACACGTCTTGCCGTCCGTCGACATGCACTCGACGCCGACGCCGTCGTCGCTCCAGCGCACAATCGTCGGGACGTCGGGGAAGCAATTCCACGCGTTCCATGTGTCGCAAATGTACGTGCCGCTGCGGAAGGAGGCCGTCGCGGCCCCCATCGCAAATGCAAGACCGGCGGCGCCACGAAGCATGTTGAAGAATGAGTCGACCGCACACATTGCCACCGCACCAACCGACCACCTTCGACATCGAGCAAGAGAAGGGCAAGATGAAGCGCAATGTTCTTGTTCCAGAGCAAAAATCGATGGCTTCGATTCGAGCAATCGTCGAGCCGGCGAACAATTGCCAGACGCGGTCGACAACCTGTGCACGCATGAGTAACCGTCGACGCCGACTCGTTGAATGCACGCGACAGGGGCCCCTCCGACCGACGTCGAATCAATAATTTGGTTCTTTGATATTGGCGGGTCGACCAACGCACCCAACTCGAGGAAGTGCGTCCGCTGTCGTGTTCACTTGAAGTGCAATTGCGTCGTGTTGTCATCACGGATCCAGCCAGTACCACTAAGCTATAACCCTCCAGCGCTAGTTACACCCTAGTATCTTAGAGAATCACACCACCGCCGATCTATGAGAAACCGGGTGCCCTGATGGCGCTATGGGAGACCAAGCCAAAGCGCATGTCCTCTTACCAGGAATTGGCCGGCTACATGCTACGACCTAACCCCAGTGGCAAGCTTGAGGAACAAAGAAGAGTCCAAAAGCAGGGTGTATATATTGTTTGTGATGATGGAAATGGATAACCAACGATGCGCTTAGTTGTCAGTGTCTTCCCACGGATTCGGGAGCTCATAGTTGGCGTCATAGTCGTCGTCATAGTTGTCGTCGCCGCCGTTGACCTCACCGTCGTTGACCGCATCGCCAACGTCCTCGTCGCCGTCGTCTTCGGACACAGCGCGCAAAAAGTAAGTCTTCACGCCCGAGTTGCTGTTGAACCCGCCGCCCGACGACGGCGTCAACAAATGCGTCGGCCGCCGGTTCTCGATGTCCAAGCCACTCGTGTCCTCGTCCTCATCGTCGATCGTGTCGAGGACGCGCGCCGGTTTCTTGTGGTAATGCTGCGGCACGCGCTTCCGGTCCGCAATGAAGACGTTCTCAGCGTCACGGACAACGTCGTCGAACGTCTCGCCCGTGAGCATCGCCTTGCCGTTGTTGAAAAAGTTGGTCTTCTTCTTGTCGGGTTTGAACCCGGCATTCGGGACGCCGGCGGACGGCCCGTCGTCGGCCAAGAACACGGCTTCGTCGTCGTTGGCGGTGTGCTGGTTGGTCTCAATCAGATAGTCGCCGTCGTCCATGACCTCCGAATAGTCGTTGACGTTGGCGTCCGTCAACGCCACGAGGCGGAGGCGCTGGTCCAAGAGGTTGTACTTGGTTGGCTTCTTCGCCTTCTTCTTCTTCTTACGGGCTTCCATGTCGGCGTTGGATTTCCAAGTGTCAAGGAACACGTCGCCGTCGTCGTCAACAACGTCGTACGCAATATCGTCGACCTCCTCCGTGTCCTCCGGGTCGTCAGAGACAAGGACAAAGTACTTGCCCCTGGGCACCGTGTTGGCGCCTTCATGGGACGGACAAGGCTTCTCGCCGGTCGAAGGCTGGGGCTTGTTGTACGACGGCGACGGCTTTTGGTACGGTGACGCCGGTTTCTGGTACGAGGACGGCTTCTGGTAGGACGACGACGGCTTGAGGTACGTCGTCGGGCGCTGGTACGTGGGCTTCTTCTTCGGCGGCGGTTGCTGGTAGGACGAAGGTGGCTGCTGATACGACGAAGGTGGTTGCTGATACGACGAGGGCGGTTGCTGGTATGGCGACGACGGCTTTCCGTACGTCGGGGGCGGCTGCTGGTACGACGACGGAGGCGGCGACTGGTACGACGACGGAGGCGGCTGCTGGTACGACGACGGAGGCGGCTGCTGGTAATTGGAAGCCGGTGGCTGGCCATACGACTGCGACGGAGGCGCGTACGATTCGGCGTCGTCGCGCATGGCGTCGAGCACCGCTCGACCAATGTCGGCGTCGTCCATGTCCTCGGACACAAAGATGTAGGGCTGTTTCTTCTCGGCGGGGTAGCCCGTCGGCTGCTTGGGCTTTTCCGATGGCTTGGTCGACGGTTTGCTGTACGACGCCGCAGGCTTCTTGCTTGGTTTCTTGTACGAGGGCGGCGGCTGGTTGTACGTCGCTGCCATCGCCTCGCCTTGCTCGAGGAATACAGGCGTATCGCTGTTGCCTTCCACGAGCATGTACGTGGCGCCACGGAGCGTCGCCGACGCCGACGCTGCTAGCGCCATGAGGCAGAGCACCGCGCTGGTCTTCATGTTGTTGTCGCTGCAAATGAAATTGGAAAATGGTTTGAAGCGGCGATGCCCACGGCGACGCTTGGAACAATCGATGCCTGTGGAAAGTCTGGTGACGGTTCGCACCACACTTGTTCTATCGATCGAAACGAACACCAGAAGAGGACATATTATGTGCGTAGATTACTATGTGCGCATGGGCACCGGCCCGCGCTGGCCGTCGGCGAGCCACGCCGCGAGGGCGACACCCCAGCGCTCGACTTGCTGCGCCTTGAGCTCGAGCAGCTGCTGGATCTTGGGCGACGGCTCCGTGAGCGCCGCTGCAGCCATCGCACTCGCAGCAACAAAGTACTCTTCCGTCGCCCGCGCGTAGAGCCCACGGTCCTCGGCCGCAACCGCCGCCTCGACCAGCGCGACGGCCTCGCCGTAGTTCATGTTGCACTTGCTCTGGAGATTTAAATTATCCGGAGGTTATCCGTACGATGGCAAGCCTGACAGCTCACGACCTCATTGCACCGACCCTGGCCTCGTGCCAGCACCGATCGAAGCGCCGTGGCCGACGACGGGTCGCTTCAGAAAGCTGGTGGCAGTCGACTGGCACCGATAGCACTTAGAGAGCCGACGAGCCGAAGCCAGCGAGCAGCGAGACTGCCGGTTTGGCTGGAAAAGGCGCGCAACCGGCGTCGGCGCGCCGACACGTCATTGCTTATAGCACTGCTTCAGGCGCTGGGACGCTTGCGCCGATGCGCCACTGCCTCGCGGTGGCGGTCGGCCATGCGTGGTGGCCTGGCGACGGTGCCACGTATGCACATGCAAACATAGAGGTTGTTTATTAAAAATGGGAGGTTTGTAGCCTCTGCGGTCAGAACGAAGACTTGCTTGCGACGCGTATCAAGCATGCGAGCGCTCTTCCTCGCGCTAGTCGCCGCCATCCTCTGCGTCGCCGCCGGACGATCGGCGCGCAATGACTACGCTTCGGGCGTCGAGAAGCTGCGTGGCCTCAAGGGCCGCGTCCGCGATGGCGTCGTGACCTTCGACACGGAGCTCTACACCGAGGTGGCGGTCGCGCCCGAGCGCCCGTACCATCTCTTCCTGCTCTTCACGGCGCTTGGCGAAAAGTACGCGTGCGAAGTCTGCCAGTACGTACCTACATGCATCCATAACGACACGCGCTCACGAGGCCATGCCACGTAGGCAAGTGCATCCCGAATTCACTGTCCTCGCCGAGTCGGTGCTCGCGACGGGCGAGAAGGGCCGTGATGGCTTTGACATCTTCTTTGGCGTCGTCGACTTTGACACGAACCAAGGCGCGTACGGCATCGTACGTCGTCCTATTGTGCGAAGGAATGGCAAGCTCACGCGCTGGATTCTGTAGCATGGCTTTACGTCGGCGCCGCAGCTCGTGTACGTCGGGCCCGACCGCACGGAAGACACGGGCAAGAAGCTGCCGACCAAGATTGAGCTGCCCGCGAACCAGATCTTTAGCGTCTACACGCAGGGCAAGTCGGCCGAGTCCATGATGAGCTACGTCAAGGAAAAGACGGGCGTCGACGCGCCCGTGCTCCGCTCCAAGGCGTTTGCATACGCTGTGCTCTTTGGCGTTCTCTTTGTGCTTGGCGTGATTGCGCACTCGGTGTGGTCCAACTTGGACATGGTCCTCAACCGCCTTCGCCGCAAGCGCGTCTGGCTCGCCATCTCGTTCGTACGTGCTCACTACGTATGGCTCAAATCTCATGCCGTATCTAGCTCTTTTACGGCCTCTCGGTCTCGGGCATGGTCTACTGCATCATCCGCGAGCCGCCGGCGTTCTCGCAGGAGCGCAACGGCAAGATTACGTTCTTCCATCCGCAGGGCCGTCAGCAGTTTGTCGTCGAAGGCCTCATCGTCGGCGGCTACGATATTGTGGCGGCGCTCAGCGTCATCCTCATGTCGCAGTCGGCGGTCGCGATCAAGAACACGACGCTGCGCTATCTCGCGCTCGGGCTCTGCCTCGCCATGTTCCTCATCGCCTACCGCCAAATGGTCTCGGCGTACGCCTTCAAGAACCCGTGGTACGAGTCGTGGTACTAGGCGTCCTGCCCGACGAGACGTCGAGAGCCCGTTGTATGGCGTGCGTCAATCGATAGCTTTTGCGACATATTGTCCTTGGCTGCCTGTCTTCCTCTTGACGTGTCTTGCCTTCGGTAGACAACCGGTTGTCGACGGTGCCGGGTGCAAACTTGATCGGTGAAGCCGACGCCGACGTCGGCCGGATCGTCCGCCCATCACTTACCCTCCTGCAGAAGGTCGTTGGGCGGTAGTGAGGACCATAGTCACCAAGGGAACCGTGTGTATTTCCTTGTCACTGGTGGCACCTGATGGGGAACCTTCCCCACGTGCACACCGCCAAGTCGGAACAAGACGAGGAGGTCATTCGCATGTGTACTGCTCGTCGTCTCTACGAGCTCCCAGCTAGTGCTGCTACTGTGAGGGACATCAACTCGACCGCACAAGAAGGAGAGCGTGTTTCGATTCTGGAGAAGACTACAGCGCCCAGAGTTTCACCGACTTGGAGGCGCCCGACGTGACGAACGCCGGGAGCGTCGTGTGCCACACCGCCTGTACGACACTGTCGCGCACCGTTGCCGAGTAGTCGGCGACGACGTCGAGGCTGTCATTCAACACCAGAAGCGACCCGTCAAAGCCACCGAGGAGGAGCCAGGCGCCGTGGGGCGAGAATGACAGGATCGGGCGGCACCCAGCAGTTGTGGTGAGACGCCGTTGCGAGTGCGTCGGACGTCGGTGCGACCGGGCGTCCCAGAGGGCAACGGTGCCGTCGTCGTGCGCCGATGCTACCACGGAGCCTACGTCGGCCGTTGGTATCCCTTCGCATTCGATTACGTACCGGACACGGGGTGGCACGCCATGGAAATGGCGGGCGACGGCAGCTGCAGCACGCTCGTACAACACCCGGTGCGCAGATCCCACGTGCGCAGTGTCCGGTCGTGGGCCGACGTGAGGAGCAGGTGCGGCTCGATTGCGTGGTACTGCATCTAGCGCCGTTGCCGGTTACTCGAGCGCGTTCATGTTTGCCACGTACTGAGAGAAGATCCTGGCCATGACCGGGTAAATGCATGGCCACCGACGCCGAAGACAGGTCCCAGACGCGCACGACGTTGTCTTCGTAGCCGCCGATCGATGCAAGCGAGCGATCTACATGACGACGGCTTCATCACCGATGCGACGGTCGGTGGCTACCGGAGGTGGGTGCAAACACCAGCGCTCGGACTTTGGTCTTGTCGGTGGCAGGCCCAACGTCCGTGTGTTCGTACAACGCTGTCGCCACCTTGTCAAGCTGGAACGGGCGGGCGAGGTGAATGACACCGTCCGTCGACCCTAAGAAGTGCCGTCGTATGCGTCGTCGACGGCCAACGCACCGGTGGCCACGAGCGTATCGGTGCAGTTCCACGCGGCGCAGTAGATTGGCCCGCTATGGTGCTTGTAGTGCTCACTCACAACCTAGTCGGTTGAGAACCCTAGTCGCTGCTATAGTTGACATCTACCGGTAACAGTGCCAGCGCCGCGCCGGGAACGGCGTCCCGAGGTCCCGCCAGCGCATCCCGAACGTTGAGGACGCGCACGGCCCGCGCGTTCGTACCGACCAAGAGGTACTTGCCGTGGTGGCTTACTTGCAGAGCTCGGACCGCCTACATTGTGCATACATTCGGCTCTTGATGTTAGCCGTTGCGGGCACCTGTGCCTCACGCGTCTCGGCAACTACGACCGCCGTCGCCGGGCTCGGCGCCTGGTCGTACGTAGAAGGCTTTGCCGCGCGGTCGACCGGCACCGACGTCCGATGATTTGAGAACGAGGCAGTTGAGAGGAGCACGGGGCTGTTAGGCTTTGGTGGCGTCGGTGGCGCTTGTGGAAACGCGTTGGACTGACGACTGAGGTGCGCCAGTCCGTCCGAGAGACGAACCATATCGTTGCGCCGGCCGAGTGTTGCCGGTGCAACAGGCGGTGGCACAGTCTACTCGAAGCCAATCACATGACGTTCGCATGCGATTTGCTTGGAGTACCATGGACAGCCGTATAAAGTCTGTGGACGCCGGTGGCGGTGGGCGGTGGAGAAGCGTCGGCTCAGCCGTTGGCGTTGGGAGTACAAGTGGGGTGATGGCGGGTGCACTGGGCAATGGCACGGTCGTTTGCATCGATGCGTCGCACAGTGTTGACGTCGTAGTCTGCACATCGGCATCCGTCACTAGCCGGTGTAGCGCCGCTTGCTGGCCGACGTCTTGCGTAGTCGTCGTCGGCGTCTGCGACTCGGTATGCGCGACCTCGGCCACGTCGGTTTGAACACCAAAATGCGAGCTCTCATCGGCAGTGCTCGGTTCCGTCTGTGCACTCGTCGTCGAGCTGTCGATGCTGGTTGTTTGCACTTCTGCGGACGCAAGAAAAGGCTCTCGCGTCTGTACACCCAAGGTAGCGACGACGACCGCCGTCTGCACGCCCGTTGCATCGACGGCAACTGACGCCTGCGAGCCAACCTCGCTGGATAACACCGAAGAGCTCTCCGTCTGGCAAGCCACATTGTTCTGTGGTGCGATGGTCGTCCACGGTCGTTTCGGCGGTAAAACCATCGAAGCGGTGACGACAGTTGTCTTCTTGTCGTCGACTGAGGGCGTCGATGCCAAGCGAAGCAGGTGCTGCGTCGGCGCCGGCAACGGCACCGCGTCCGGTCGCAGGCAGTCCAGCGCCGTGTCGTCTTGGTTGCTCTCGTGAGCCTACATAGCCTAGTACACAACAACTCGACGAGCCGGAACAATCCGACCTGATAGCGCAGCGCCTGTGCCACGAGCGTTTGCAGCTGCATCGGCGGCGTCGCCAAGTACCGCGCGACGCCGTCGTCGTCGTTTGGCAGCTCCCGGACGTCGGCGAGAACCTCGGCGAAGCACTGCAATCGGCGCTGCGCCGTGTTCCACGAAGCGAGCGTCGGATGCACGGTATTCGGTGTCGTTGTAAACGCCAGTGTCTCGTAGAGTCCATACTCGGTGTGGGATTTTGTCAGCGCTTGGAGCCATCGAAGCCGCGACGGGATCTATGCATGCACTTGACATTGCCAGTGGCGACGTGGCAGGTACCGGTGCCGCGTCGACGCAGGCTTCGAGAAAGGCGTGCGCGCAGACAGCGTCGTGCACGCGGGCGTACGTTGTCGGTGCCTGCGCCTGCAACGGCTCGAGAAGTGCCAAGGCAAGTGCAAACTCGCCGCGTAAGATGTAGGCGCGGAGCTGGGCCATGGCGCGGCTTGGCCCGCAGAGCCACCGATGGTCGAGACCCGACTCGAGGAGAAGCGCAACCGTGGTCGCAAACAGGCCCGTACTCTCCAGGTAGTGCTACGCCACTGGTTAGAGCAGAAGCGTCGTCGTAGTACCCACAAGAATGAGAAAGAGAACGTCGTCGTGCGCGACGGCGCCGTCGCTCGCTGCCGTCGGCGTCGGTGCCTCGAGCAGCATGACGAAACTCTCGTGAAACGATCATCTCGGGCTCCGCCCGGCACAGTTGACACGCAGTTGACATGTTGAACATTGCGACAACAGTTGTCGGGTCGTCGTTGGCGGTGGCTGTCAACGAGACCATGCCACGTCACTGCTCACTGCATGGGCCGTGATTGTCGATCACAAAGAGCGTGGTCGCTGTCGTCGAGATGTCGCACCAGTACAAGACAATATTGTGTATGAGGTTACGATATTTAAACTAGAGCACTTGGATCTGGTCTCGGGGCGTGGTGCCGCCTTCAGTCATGACCGAGTCTTGCGTCTGCAGTGTCGAGCGTTCGATCTCGGCGTTGGCGGCGCGCAGCTTCTTCTTCCGAGCGTACACGCCAAAGATGATCATCCCAATGACGACGAGGGCGGCCACGATGGCGACGATCATGACGGCGACCGGCATCGGCTGCGTCTTGTCGACGCGGTTATAATCGCGGGCGTCCCATTTGGTCGCCGACCCGTTCTTCGTCGGAGCGGGCGCCGTCGTCTGCATGTCGCTCGGGTTGGTAGGTTGCGTCGGGGTAGTCGATGTCGGTGGCATGGTCGTTGGCCGATCGACGCCCGATGTCGACGGTACCGGCGCGGAGCTCGTCCGTGCTGTTGTCGGTGCGGATGTTGCCGTGGTCGATGGCGTCGTCGGTACGGTCGTTGCCGTGGTCGACGGCGTCGGACGGTCCGTCGTTGGAGTCGCGCTCGTGGTAGGCGCTTGTTCGCATTGCACGCCAGCGTATCCATCGATGCAGATGCAATGGCCGTTGGTGCACCTGCCGTGGTCGCCGCACTGCCCGAGGAGACATGCGTCCGACCCGGCGACATCGCAGCGCGCGCCGCTCCATCCGTGATCGCAGGTGCAGGCAAAGTTGGTTGCGCCCGTCGAGTGGCACGTACCGCGGCCATTGCATGGCTTGCCGTGCACAGCGCAGCCCGTCGAGCAAGCACCCGACCCGACGAGTTGGTCGCAGCGCGTCATGTCCATGCACTTGAAGATGCCGGCGTGCTCGCCATACGTCTGGCAGTTGCCAAAGGCGCAAGCATCCGGCGGCTGGCGGCTCCAGGCGCACACGAGCGGGCCGGTGTGTGGCAGGCGCGGGCAGTTGCCGGCCAAGTTGCCGCCACAGACCGAGTCGACGACGCACGACTGTACGGCGACGTCCGACTCGCCTGCGACGCAGCTCGAGCCTAGTGGGCAGGCGCCGGTGCTATTGCACGGGACGTCGATGGCGGCGACGCCGGCGAGCAGCAGTAGTAGCAAGGCAGGATGCAGCCGTCGCATTTCGAAAATGAGGGACCGCCGGGTTTTTCCCAAATGTTTGTCCCAATTATTTTGGCGAATCTTTCGCAAAAATTTAAACAGCTTGCCAAATGTATGCAATTAAATCGAACATCAAATTGCGCAAGTGCGACGCGCACCACCTGGTGGGAATCCAGGCGGAACAACCCGACAGCAGCCCGATCGACGACGACAACGACGACGGGCGGACCGAGACCTTGGCGGTCGCGACTCGAGCGCACGGGCCAAAGGCCACCAACATGGTGCCGCGGCAGATGCATGGCCATACGCGCGCAGCTGTCATTGCCCGACAGGAGGCAGCTGCCATTCATTGACACCTCCAGCTGGTGCTGTGGACATGTTGGCCCGCAACGCAGCTCAGAGACGCATCATAGCCTGGAAGGCCACAGTGGTAGGGCCAGCGCGCAGCTTGAAGAGCCACGTATCGGTTCCGCGGAATCTCGGCCGATCCTTTCGTTGCAACGGCAACGACGGCGGTCGGTATCGGTGCTCTGCGCATGCCGGTCGATGGAATGGCACATATACATCTATTACCAGAGAGGCCGTCCATTATAAGGTCTGAATCATGCCCTTTGGCGTCTGGACGCCGTCGTCAATGTCGCCTTCCATAAGCTCGCCGACTTCGGCGCGCGCGCGGTCGGCTTCGCGCTGCTGCATCTTCTTCCGAACAAAGAAGGCGACGATGAGCACAAACGCGAGGGCCACGACGACGACGAGAAGAATCCACCACCACGAGGTGGTAGTGTTGCTACTGCCGCCAGCCGTCGCTTTGCTGCTACTGCTCGCGCTGTCCGAGGTGGGCGTCGGTAGCGTCACGACCGCAGTCGTCGCCGACGGGCTTGTCGTCGTTGCATTGGGCGAAAGCTCACACTGCTGCCCGCTGTAGCCCTTGACGCACGAGCACGTGCCGTCGACGCACTGACCAAACTGGCCGCAGCTACCGACGCCAGCCTGGCAGCTGCTGTTGACGACCTTCTCGCACGCTGGGCCGTCCCAGCCGTCGTTGCACTCGCACGTGTACGACGCGCCGTTCGTGGTCCGGCACCCGCCACGCCCGTTGCAGATGAGGCCGTTCGACGACTTGCACCCGCTGCTGCACACGCCCTTGTTGCCGTTGATCGCATCGCAGCGGTCGAGGGTCATGCACATGTAGATACCGGCTTGGCCGTTAAAGGCGGCGCACGAGTTTTGATTGTCCGAGCATTGTGACGCGTTCACGGGGCTCCACGCGCACACGAGCTGGCCGGTTGAGAGGAGGCCCGGGCAGTTGCCTGCGACGTTGCCGCCGCAGCCCGGCGTCTGGACGCACGACTGGATCGACGTCGTCGCGCTGCCGGCGATGCACACGCTGCCGGCGGGGCAGTCGGTCGTGTCGCGGCAGACGTTGCCGATGACACCGGAGGACTCTTGGAGGCGCCGGTGCAGGAGCGGCCACGGGTGCATCATGCTGCTGCGGACGGCGGCCGAGACGCCGGCGGCGACGACGGCCAGTCGGAGGAGGCGCAGCATGGCGGGCGGTCAAGGCGAGAAATGACACCTCGGCGGAGGTGTCTCGCCAGGTGGCAGGAAGCTTGGTGTTTGTATACTACTCCAGCGTGAATTCATTTTGTTTTTGAATAAAAATATCGCGACATTTGTATGGCGGCTGGTTTCCACGAAAACCCTTTGTGTTTAAATATAGATACTGTATTCAGTTTGAGAGGTTTTCGTTCTGACAGTTTCAGCGACTCGCGCCAAATTTGTGTCATTTTGATATTTGCAGGAAGATGGCCACCGGTGGCCTTCACTAAATGAAGCCATTCATCCTAGACCCGATGCAAGGGTGGTTGCTGCATGTAGCATGAGAGAAGGAGTAGCAGTGCATAGAGAAGGGAGTGGATGAGATGGACATGCGATTTCGACTATCGCAGGATGCGAGATACTTCCGGTACGCGAGCTGCAGCAGGAGCGGCAGCATTACACGGCCTATCACCAACGGTAGCTTTCAGTGTGTGTACCTCTGCACGGAGAAGGAGGAGGCGTTGCTGCTTCCAACTGCAAGGAGGCTGGACCACACATACACTGTACATACTCCGGTATCTGGACGGTTGCTGTCAGGGTGCCGTCCAGCCGTCCAGAGAGGCGGCGCGTGTCGCTCAACTGCACGTGCACCACCGCCTCGTTCAAGGGCCCGAGCGGCCTGCTCTTCGTCGGCTTCTCCGGCTCCTCGCCCAACACAAGTGGCCGCGTCAGCACCTTGTCCCGCGGATCGCGCTTCTGCCTGTCTCGATCCAGTTCCTCAAAGTTTGCACCACGCATTTGTCAGCGACAGTGGCCGAATGGGTTGTGGACGGGAGGCTGCTACACGAACCTACGCGACACTCACAGAACCCCGTTCACGATCGTTTCGGCGACGTAAAGACGCATGGTCAGTGTCCACGCGTCGTCCGGTGATCCAAAGATACGTCGCTTGACCGACGCCAGTTGACTGAGGAAGTTTCCGGGTGCGGACGGCTCCTTCTTTCCGTCGTCGTTGCTGACCCAAGGTGTTTTGCAAGGCTCTAGTGTCGTGTAGTGGCCGGGTTGTAACTAGTACATTCCTATCGACCGCGAATGATTGCGCTTGTAGACCAAAATGTTGACGAGGACAATCATTCCCATTCGGCGGTTTGCTCTCGGGTCGATCGAATTGGGCTACCGATAATTCTTCGACATTCTCAAATTGTCTTGGTCATGGTTACGTTTGCCGTCTCGTCCGTGGAGCGCAGCATCTGCAAGGCGGAGCTATCCAATCGTCAGCCCATTACGGCGCTCAAGGAGTTTGCCACAGAAGGCTGCAGAGACATTGTCCAAGCCACCCACCTCGGTCCCGTTGTTGCGTCTGAAAGTGGCTTTGTGCGTGGTGTTATTGAAGCCTACAACAACCACCACGACCTCGTGCTTCGACCGGACGATATTTGGCTCGCGATTTTGATTCAGTTTGGTCTGTACGTCGATGGCAACGCCGAAGCGCTGCGGTCGTCGCTCGTCAAGCACGAGGGTCAGAAGGAGCTTATTGTTGATGCCAATGGGACATTGTACTCGGTCGACTTTGGCGCGCTCTCCAAGCAAATGGTCGACAAGATGGACGAGTTCCTCGTGGACCCTAGCCTCAAGCACTGGGTGCTTCCGTCCTTCTCGACAACGACCGACCACGACGTCATTGTCGGCAGCGTCGTGCTCATGGCCACGATGAAGAAGTTCTTTTCGTACAAGTTTAGCCTCAAATGCGGCATTCCACATGTGACGCTCCTCGGCACCGTCGACGATTGGCAAGACATTCGGCATCGCCTCGACAAGCTCTCGACGTACGGCGAGCGCATGACGCAGTGGACGACGATGCTGGCGCCGATTCTCGATCAGTTTGTGGCGGCAGCACAAGGCCAGGCCGACGTAGCGTTCTGGGACCGCATCTGCAGTCGCAAAGGCGGCGGCTCGGGCCCGAGCTACCTCGCCGGCTGGCTCAGCGTCTTTTGCGTCTTCAACGACAAAGGCCAGTGGCAAGGCGACAAGATGGCGAAAGACACGCGGCAGCGCAAGCCCGTTCATCATGTCGACGTCCCGTACAACTACCCACTCGTCGACATGCAAGACATTCCGCCTGGCTACCTCACGGTCGACGTGACGATCGACGACAACGGGACCGAGCACGAGGCGCTCATGTTTGCGGGGCACATGTCGTACGGCCGTGGTGAAAACAAGCGGTCAATTGTGCCGTCGTTGAGCTGGGCGATCGCGCTCAAGAACGGCAAGCGCAAGCCCAAAGAAACCAACCCGTTCGGACTGTGAGACCTCACCTTAGACGTGGACATCCCAAATCATGTGTCAGCTTGGTTTAATAACACTCTAATCACATAGTGCTTGATCAAAATACTAGTATATGTATCTACTGCACCACAACGCGGCCGGACTCAAGGTCATGGCCGTAGGCTTTCGCGCAATGCATTCGTATACGTGGCGTGTCGCCAACAAGTCACAGTCGGTCTTGTTCACGTTGTTTGAGAACGGCCGGGACTATGTCAGAGCCCGACTCTGTGTCGTAGACGGGGATATCAACGAGATACTGATGTCAAGATCGCTTGTGTAGCCACCAGTGGCGCAAGAGCTCACGCGTCGACGACGCCAGCGCATCGAGTCGAGTTTGTATCGCAAGCTTTGGCGCTGTGACGGGCGTTAAGCATGGTGTGGAGGGTCAACTGCACTGGAAGAAACTGCGTTGAAACGATCATGGAGACATGGGAGCGGGATGAGCCGCGGTGTCGAGGTCCCTCTTCCCGTCTATCGCCCATGTTTATAGCTCGTGCCTTGTAGAGAAGAAGGTGCACGTGCAGATGGCCAACATGCCGGGCGACGCTCCGGTGCGCCGACGCCGAACGACGCCGCAAAAGCCCGTCGTCAACGTACGACGTCGACGCAGACAACGGTCGATACGAACTTTGCTAGAATTACGCGGCGGCGTTCTCGGCCCAAGCCAAGGTCGAGCGGATCCAAGACCACAAAGTCAACCTCCTCCGAGCGTTTGAGTTGATTGAAAAGGTATTTATTCGGCAAAACTACCGCACTTACGGTATGCAACACGTAGCAACGACCCGAGAGCATCAAAGCGAGCAAGAGTGCGCCCAAGCTGCGGACGCTGCACCGGACAACGTCGACGCAAGCCACCGTACCAGTCTTTGACTTGTCCGAGCTCATGGTCGACTCAATTCTCAACCCGCAAACGAGATGGAGAGATCCTTATGAAATGGTAGGCGTATGCCAACATGTCGCCACCCAAGCCCGAGCTACCGCGCACATCGTCGCGCAAGGTCGCCGCACTCGCCAAACTCGACCGGCCGCAGTCGGCCAAAGCGCCGACGCCTGCAAAGGCGGCCAAGTGCAAACGACCACAGTCGGCTACGGTGCGTAGACGCTCCTCTTGTGGCGTGATGTAATTGCCTTGATATAGGACCGGGGACAACGCCACGTTGAGAGCCAAGTCCAGCGGGTCTTGGACCGGTACTATGCGAAATTTCAGCCGCATCTACCAGACGTCAAGACGTGGGCCGTGCCGCTCAGTGACCAGCGCGCACCGACACCGTGCGAGGGTAGCCGCTTGGATGGATGGACGGACGTGACTATTTTGTATTGGGTAGAAGGCGCCACGAGTCGTCTGCCGCATTTTCACATGAATTTTCGCGGACTGCCGCTGCGAAATGGAGGCATTCCCGGGTTCGATGTGCCGACTACCCCAAGCACGTTTGCGCTGCAGACGTTTGTACCGCGCATGCTCGTCTCGGTCGACTTGGCTGGAACGCAATTGACCGACGCCGGGTGCTACGCCGTGGCCACGTAGGATATCCATCTGTGGTTTCGGTCTACACGATATCGACGAGTAGGCAACTCATCCACGAACCGTCCATCACGAGCCTCGACGTACGGTCCAACGCACTCACTCTGGATGGCAGTGCGTCCACAAGATTGTCATGCATGCTGTGGACTGATGAGAGGTTATAGTCCACGTCCTCCTCGACGCCGTGCAGTGTCGGGCCATGTACCACGCTCTCAACCACCGATTGGCACCGGTCACGACACTCCTTTTGGCCAACGCCGGCGTCGACATGGACAAGGTCCAGCGTCTCGTGACCACCGCCAACCTCTCCGTGGTCGTCGTTGCGCCGGACGACGCCGACTGCGCCACGCTCGGTGTCGAGCAGCTCTTACGCGACCAACTACAAGAAGGTCCCGACACGTCGGTGGCCATAAACGAGACACTCGCCCCGTCGCTCCGACTGCAGCGCCTACCGTCGTGCCACGTCGTTGCAAACCCGTTGGCAGCCACCGACGCCATCCGTGTGACCAAGCCGCTTCCGACACAAGTGATCTGCGCGCCATTGACCGAGACACGGCAGCCTCGCCGGGTCACAGCCTTGACCTCGTCGAGACGCGATCTCGTACATAGCCGTCGTCTGCCACCAGGAAGCGAAAGCGAGAGCCCGGATGGTGCGACAACAGAGAGCATCGAACCTTTGGCAACCGACAGCCGACTCGAAAGCTACCTCGACCACCTCGAAGCCTCGGTCCATGAGCTGCTGACACCCGATGCGTCATCAAGGCCTCCGTTGTCTCGGGCTGACGTGGACGCTACACCGACACTGGCCCACCAAGCTGCGTTCAGCGCTGCCCACACGGCACTGTACCGCTTATATCGTCAACCGCCTGTCGCACCAAGCACGATCCCACGCCTCGCTCTCGGCGTCCAAACGTCGTCCCATCCGTCGGCGGCGCCATGGCGACCGGAGAACATGGTCATCGTCGGGTCTGTGGCGCATCAAGTTGCAGCGGCGAGCCTGCAATGGGCACTCTCTGGCCTCGCGCCGTCGTAGGTTGTAGTAGGGCTCTCGGTATCCCTTGCGTTTGCAAAACAACTTGTAAATAAGAAACGCGTCGATATGGATGTGGGATAGCAACGTGCAACGACGCTCGTTGCAGCTACGAGGCCGTGGCCAGTGTCGCGTGAAGCTTCTGCACAAGGCCAACCAGCATCGCGTTGCCGCCTATCGTATGAGCATAAGATCTGTAAGATCGTGATACGAGTCGGGCGTACCCAAAGCTGCAATCTCGCCGAGGATCTCCGCGTACACTGATTCGAGGTAAGCTTTGGTGTACTCAAATGCACCAGTCTCGGCGAGGTACTTGACCGCGTGCTCCTTCACACTGCGGTTGGTCGTACGTTGTTTGAGGATGCTCAAGAGCCGGTGGTCACTCGGGTCCTTGTGGATCCCATAGATCAACGGAAACGAAAACTTGCCTTCGGTCAAGTCTTCGCAGTAGCTCTTGTGCTCCATGTAGTCGGTGTCGACGAGGTTGATGTAGTCGTCGCGGATCTGGAAGTACAGGCCGAGAAGATTGACGAGCGGGATAAAGTCATATGCGCAGTCGCTGAACGCTTGCATGAGGCCGACCGCGAGGCGAAAGAGACCGCCCGTCTCTACGCACGTCGTGCATGTTGCTCGTAGCTGCAAAATGGAGGTTCGTACTGTTGATGACCATGGCCTTGTACGCGTCTTCGGTCGGGCACGTTGCCGTGTCGCGCCACAGAATGTCCTGGCCCTGGCCTCGGTGGAGGTTGATCATCTCGCGGATGTACAGCTCCATTGCACGCGGGCTACCCAGGCCGTTGCAACGCTCGAGCGCGAGGAAGAAGGCAAAGTTGGCACAGTTGATCGTCGACGGCACGCCAAAGATCGCATGGGCCACCGGCTGCCCGCGCCGAAGCTCCGAGTTGTCTTCAATGTCGTCAATGAGCAAGCTCGCATCGTGGAGCGTGCCCACAATATCTTTGATCGCGGCCACCTTGTCGTCGGGAATCGCCAGCCAGAGCTGGAACGCGTCGACCATGATGGCCCGGATGTTCTTGCCGGGCATCGCGCGGATGTAGTACCAAGGCTCCAGAAGGCTCTACGTCGGCGCCATGAGCCATCCATCGATCCACGCGGCGGGGCACCTACATGGTCGTCGTCGGCCATTATTCTTGTTGCTGGGATTTTCGGAAAGTGAAATCTCAATCGAAATGCCGCAGCATTTTAGCCAATCACAGCGCGTCACGTCGGACCACGTTGGCCGCCCCTTGTCGCTCACCTGCAATGTGAGACTCGACGCTCTGACCAAAGGGAAGGAACGATTAAAAAATAATTGCCGCGAACCGAACGAAGCCTAATTATCACAATACAAGTTGCTTTATTCCACCCACCGAGTCACCCTTTGTGCTCCTTCTAGTAGGCGCTGGTCTCCGAACGTCCACTTCAACTCGAGTTGCCTCAATTTTTGAAAATATCATACGGATAAAATTTATCCGGCTTGTGGCATCACTGGAGGGGATTGGAGTTGATTCCGAATCGACTTCCGTTGCATCAACTCCGAGTTTTGGTTTTTATCGCACAAAAGCGGGGCGCGCAACGCGAGGCGCGTCGAACACCACGCCCAAGGCGCCTGTGCAGCGCAAGGTGACCAAGAAGGCTGCCACCAAGAAGGCTGCCACCATGACGCTACCGCCGCCTGCTGCAACGCTGCCGCCTACACCACCTCAGCGGTCACGACGCCAGACGTGGGTCACCATGGCGGTTGAAGAAGCCGTCGTAGACCTTAGGGCGCTCGATGTCGATGAGCGTGCCGTCGGAAAATGCTCGCACGATGTAGATACACCACGACTTGGACACACCGAGAGCACCAAGCCTCGCGGCACCCGCCCTCGCTGGCGAGGAAGTACAGCAGTACGGCGACCTTCTTGGCGAAGGAATGCGTGGACTTGCGGAACTTGTAGTCGCTCATGTAGACGCGGAGCGTGGACACAAGAGCGCGAAACGTGGCTTGGAAGCAGCGGAGGTTGTTGATGAACCACTGGTTGTAGCGATGATCGGGAATCATGTCATCGAACTCGACCTCCTTTATGGTTAGAATGTTGAACTTGTCCTCGCGCACAACGGCATGAGCCACAGCAAGCGCAGCTCCAGCACAGCCCACGGCTGCCGCGACCGCCGACGCAAAACGATGCGTGCGGTCATTCACAGTCCTCGAGTGAGTTGACTCGCAAATGTGCGTTCGCAAACCAGGCAAATTTGGGTCAACCACGGAGGCTACCGGATAAATTTTATCCGTACGGTTCGACGCCTGCATTTTTGAAAATTGAGGCAACTCGAGTTGAAGTGGACGTTCGGAGACCAGCGCCTAAGGCAAAATACCTCACATCAGGACGCATATCAACCAATGGCACTCAGCTGGAATTGTTCTACAACCCCAATCAACTGGCGTTTTGCCGAAAGTTTCTCAGCTACGCTATGAAACTCACACTTCCGAACCTGCCGCACGATGGAGATACCGCCGCAAAAACTGCTCTTCCAGTGGCTTCATTCAAGTGCAGCTCCTTGTAAGGAAAACGATACCGGCGAGGCGTTGATGGCAGCGATCCAGCGGTTGGAGCCACTCTTGACGAAGCAAGCCGTGGACGCGTACCCGAGTCACACCCTCGACGTCGCCATCCAGTGCATTGTGGTTTTGCCCGCCGAGACGAGCGCCGTCGTCGCTGAAGTCCAAAAGCTGCGCTACCAAAAGCTGCGCTACTTCCTCGCGAACCAAGTGCAGCTCGACATGGTGCCGCCCATGATGCAAACGTCGAATGAGCCGCCGCTGGCGTCGTGCCCGATGCTCACCTGTCTATATGAAGTCGATGCTCACTCGATGCACTCGGCGGCGCCCCGCATTGGGCTCGAGAGCGCAAGTCGGTCGCGTCAAAACACGTCATTTGATGTGGTTGGCACCGACCCACGTACCGATGGGCAGCAAGAGTTGAACGAAGCTCCACCGGCGACGCTGCCGCTGGGTGTGCCAACTCTGCTGCCGCGCTCGGATGTACGTCCAAAGAGAGACATTGATCAACCCGCAACGACATTGACGACATTAACGACGACACCACCCGACCTTCCGTGCTCGATGGTGAGCAAGGAGTCGGACCAGCCTGCGTCGTTTGAACCTAGCGACTCCGAGTTCCCCAGTGGCCTCCGCCCGACGCTGGTCCATTTTGATACATATTATCATTCGAGCGCATCTCCTGGGAAGGCAAACGATACAAACGAGACGTTCTTGGCAGCGATCCAGACGTTGCAGCCGCTCTTGACAAAGCAAGCCGTGTCGGCGTACCCGAGTCACATCCTCGACCTCGCCATCCAGTGCATTGCGGCCTTGCCCGTCGATACAACCGCCGTCGTCGCCAAAGTCCTAAAGCTGCGCTACTTCCTCGCGAACCAAGTCTGAGCCACGCAGTGTGCTCAGTCGTGACCCGGCGTAGCCTGGAGCTACACTCTCCCGCACCTCCGCGGCCACGGAGAATTACACTTCCCCAATTGTACTATCAGGCAAGACCATTTGAATCAATACATGTTATAGTCGATGCGAGTATTTTTTCAATCCCGCGATGTGCGTCGTATCGATCAGTAGCGCTCGGCGAGGATGTTGGTGACGAGGGCGGTCCAGCCCGTGAACGGGTGGCAGCGCTGGCCCTTCCCCGAGACGTCGTTGTACTGCTCGTGAAAGTAGCCCGTGCGCTCGTACTCGGCCAGAATCGTACTCACGACCGCGGTTCGAAGCCGGGCGTACACGTCTGCAAACGCTGCCCGGGTGCTCACGTCACTTGCTTCGGCCGCATAGAACGAAAAGCTCTCGAGCGCGAGGTAGTTGAGGTTCATCCAGATGGCACCGCGCCAGTACGGAGCGTCGCCCGGCGCGTTCGGGCGGTCGTAGTACACATCATACGGTGAGAGCGACCGGAGCCCATGCGGCGTCAAGAGGTGCGTCTCGAGCTTTGCAAGAAGCGGGCGCAGCTTGGGCGAGTCGAGCGGCAGCAATTTGAGAAACACCGGAAAGAACGTCACGTAGCCAATGTGCTCGACAAACTGTAGGCGCAACTAGACACGACAATATTGTCATACTCTCTACAATACGACAACCATTCGACGTACAGTTTTCGGCACAAAAATCTGCTTCTTGAGCAACCCACCGGCGCCGTCGCCGAGCGGATACAGGAACCGCGGATGCGACGCCGGACACACGTCCGAGCCGTCGCCCCGTTGCAGTTGCCGCGCCGACGCCGTTGCATCGATACCCCTAACCCCACAAAATAATGTCGCACTCGACTGTATCGAGAACGTACGCGCCGTCGACCGTCGCACATCGAATCACAATGTGGTCTTCAAAGTGGCCGTCCGCACTGTGCAGGCCATAGTCGAGGTAGAGGCCATTTGACCAGTGGTAGGTATCAAGCGCCTCCAGGTACGTTGCATGCAACGCCGTGTACGTGCTGCCGTCGTGGCCGATGGCAGTTGCTACAGTAGCCAACACCGACGCCGCCTAATGCCACCGCACGATCGTCAGTCAACCGAAGGCAAGGACGTAATGACGACCTTGGCCATCCATGCGAGCAAATCGACGTGGCGCTCGTCGTCGGATGGCGACGACGCCCGCGGGTAGTCGTCCAAGCCGGATGCGAGCGTGTTGGGCATGAGACGACCGTCGTTGTGGCGGCCGCGCCATCGAAACGTATGGTTGACGTCGCCCGATTGTGTCGTCTGGAACCACTGGAACCATTGGATGAGCTTGGGCCAATGCGCGAGCAGCCATGGCCGCGCGCGCTCGAGGTGCGCGAGCTTTTCGATCGCGAGGAGTAGCGTCGGGGGGTTGGCATGACTTGCGTGCTGCACGAGAAACTCGGACGGCACGCGCTTCTGCGCCAAGTGCCCTACACCGCGTTACGTGAGCTTGAAGCGCGCGCATGTACGCGCACATACCGCGAATCTGCTCGCGGGCCATGTAGCCCCGGTCGTCCATCGTATGCAGCCAGTGAGAGAGGACGTCCATGCTGATCACAGGATCAAAGTGAACTATACCGAGCTGGTGGAACCCTTCGTCCCAGAGAAAGCCTCGGGGAAAGAACGAGCGCGACGGCACCGCCGAGTAGAGCGGAAGCGGCGCGGTCTCATCAATGCGGTCGTGGTCTTCGAGGTAGATGCTACAACATACGTCGTTCAATGTTGTACAGTAAAGACAATATTGTCTAGTGTACCTGCCGTAAAAGTAGCCAATGCCACCAATGAGGCTGCTGAACGCCGCTTCGGCGAGCGCGATCTGCTTGGCATCGCCCGAAGTCGCCGCGAGGCCAAACGTAGCTTCAAAATGGCGTCCAAACTGTGCGCTGTAGTCGTCAATGACATCATTGTACACAGCAATAGGCGTCGACTGCAACAGATCGTCGTCGTCGGTCGCTTCGTTGTAGACAATGTGCAGCGCAACGTCCGAGGTGCGGCGAGGATCGTAGCGCAGCTGCAACACGACGATCGAGCTCTCGTCGTCGACGTCGTCGGGCAAGACGATCGCCATATCGCCGCCAGGTGTCCGCGCCGCCAGCTGCACGAGGCGGTCCTTGACGTTCACGACGTTGACGCCGGCGTCACCCCAAAAGTGCAAACTCGGCACGTCGCCTGTCACATGCGCCTGGACGCGCGTCGCAAAGTTCAAGGTCGCATCGGTTGCGTGCTCGGCGCGGACACTGAGCTCAAGGCACGTGACGTCGTTCGACGTCATGGGCTCGACACACGGCGACGGCTCGTCGATGGTCCACTGCAGGTGCTGGAGCACCTCGTCGCGGCAGGCGTGGCCAATCTGGTCGTCGCCGCAACCGACGTCGAGGTAGAAGAAAAGCGACGCGAGCTCCGGAAGGCCCTTCTCGGCGTAGAGAGGCGCGACCGTGATGCGCGAGGCCCACGACTTGGTTGCGACGCTGCCGTCGTGCGCCGGCGGCTTGAGGAATGTCGTCTCGATGGCCATGCGGTTGAGCCGGTCGCGAATCGTCTGCTGGCCGAACGATCGCCCATTGTGCTTGGTCCAGCCATAGGACTCGAGCCGATCGCGCTCCGAGCACTCGTGCTTGAGCTGGCTCACGTCCTCGTTGGCCGATGTCCAGAGGAGTCCCGCGCTGACGTGCGTCGGATGCGTCCGCGATCGGACGCCAAAGTAGAGACCCGAGTGGTAGGTACCCCAGCGCAGGCTGTCGTCACCCGCGCACGACGCGGTGATGGCCGCAGCAACGGCCAACCCCACCGTCCACGTCATCGCCTTGTCAAGTTGCCAAATGCTCGACAAACCTGTCATTTCATTCACTATTTCAAGGTCTATGAAGATCGCCGTTCAACGTTATATAGTGTAAAACGCGTGCCACACGTCGCGTGCTTTTTGCATCACAGAGCGGCCTCGCGCGTCGCATGCATGAGGGACTATGGCAACGGTATATCTATGGAAGCATTGCTACCTCTCTCTTGCGCGCCAAGAGCTCCCTCGGCATAGACAACGCTCAACAGCCATCTCTCGATCCTTATTTAGTGTAATTTGAACACTATTACTGGCAAGTGCAAGCTCGCCGCATTTGCTCGATGGGTCGGCAGGTGACGATTGTCTACGGGAAGCAGTCGGCGCAGCTGTCGATCGACAATGACGCAGCGCTGCCGGTGGCCGAGCTCAAGGCGCGCATCGAGCCGCTCTTTGGGGTCCCGGCGCCGGCGCAGAAGCTGCTCTGTCGAGGCAAGGAGCTCAAGACAGGCGCGACACTGGACCTCAGCACGCTGCCAGCAACGGCCAAGATCATGCTTCTTGGGCAGTCTAGTGCAGCGCCACGCGCACCAGCTACTGCGCCAACGTCGGAAGAGGCGCCCGCGCCCATCGCACCCGCAGCAGCACCGCCCGCCATTGTCCTTCTCGACAACCAACTTCAGGTCGACGTTGTGCGAGGCAAGGAGCGCTGGTCGTTCGCGATGGACCAAAGCGCCGACATGGCCTGCGTCAAGCTGCGAGTGGAAGAGGCGACGGGCGTACCGATGGCGCGCCAGCGGCTGCTAAGTCGCGGCAAGTACCCCGACAACAGCACGGGAATTGCGTCCCTTGCCGCCCGCGGTAAGGCCACCTTCATGTTACTCTACGACGAGCTGCAGCACACGCACATGGACATCGACCGCATGACGACCGAGATGGAGGTCGAGCGGGCGGCCTATGCGGTTCAACTGCGCGAGCTCCACGCCAAAGTCGCGCGCAATTTCTTTGATCCAGCCGACCTGAACCTCACGCTCGCGCATCTCCTCGACCAAGTCGAGATTCTGCTCAACAATGCTGAGATCGCTCTCGAGACCAAGTCGTCACCGGCGCTAGTGGCCGTGCATGAAGCCACGACGGTGCTGCGCCAGGACATTGAGGCCCTTATCTTGGACAGTCGCACGCGAC